AGAAATGCCACCTCAAATCCTGCACTGCAGCCAGCCGCCACAGCGCAAAGCCCCAGCTGCCCCTGCTGCCCTGTGCTCCACCAGCCCTGCCACACCCAGTTGACCTTCGCTGTCTTCTTCCTCCTGCTGCTGACCTGGCCTGGCCCTTTGCAATGCAGCTTCTGGCTGCGCCAGGCCTTCTTCCCAAGGCCACATGCAGCCTTCTGCATGTGATTTCAACAAGGGCACACACGACCTTGGGAAGAAGATGAAGGTCAGCTGGGGGCAACAGAGCCAGCAGAGGCAGTGGGGTACAGGGTAGCCAAATGGGAGAGATGGGAGATAGGCAGGTGGGGGGAGTTGAAGCACCACTCTGGTCGTAAGTATGGGTGGGCTGCCAAATGAATTTTGATCACGTGACTGCAGGGGTGCTGCAACGGCCATAACTTCAGGGACTGGGCATAAGTACCATTTGTTCAGCCCCACTGTAACTTCAAACAGTTGCTGAACAAATGGTCGTTAACTGAAAACTACCTGTATTTGGGTGTATAGCCTTGCCCCACTTATGCAGATTTACGTGTTGGAATCCATATATCAAGGCAGAATAGAACCAAGGGTTATAGATTAACCCTTACTTGCTGACAAGTGATCCATGTTGTCTTAACAGTCTGCCATAAAAACTGCAGGTTTTTTTGGAGAGACATTTGTCTTTTATTGCCAAAGATGAAATTGAAAGGCATAAATGCAGTTCCACTTGAGGCTTAGCTCATTTTTCTGGTGATTGATGGATTCTTACACCCAGAGAAAAGCTGGCCAGAGGATGATCTGGAAGGTCCTTCACTGAGGAGGGCATTCATGTAGTACACTAAGATTTCTAAAGGAAAGATGCAATTTCTGAAGCGTATGAGTTCGAAGAAAAGATTGTGAAGCCGTTATAGTTGAAAGGATTCATTCCTTGACTATAGGAAATAAATTGAAATGGTTTCAATCCATTCCTCTCCAATCAGGCAAGCCCATTTTTATTTATTACGCTGACTTTTCTGCTGTAGCGCTTAAGGCACCTAAGGCTTTGCATCTATGGCTTATAATCCAACTGGTATGATGAAAAAAGAATGGAGATTGGGAGAGGGCAAGAAATATCTGAGCAGTTTTGAAAAGAAAGGTCTTCCCTTGGGAGGGGCTGTATCAGTGCACACTAGCAGGGCCCTCTTGTTTTCCAGTCCATTTCTTCCAAACAAAATGCCTAACTGATTTCTTTTTCTCATCTTACCCAGTGAGTTTGGCAGAAACATCTCTCTTGAATAAGCTGATACGGAAATCTCTAGTGGAGTCAAATCATCAGGTGGAGGTTCTACAGCGAGATCCCAGTTCACCACTGTTTTCTGTAAAAACCTTTGAAGAGCTGCATTTGTGAGTAACAGAAGCCCAAACCCATTCACTTTGACCCATTCGTTACTGTGCTCTTCAGCGAGCTGTTGATCTATTTGTAGTGTGGCAGAGGTAGAAGTTAGCATCGGCTATTGGCCATGGTAGCTATGGGCCTGCCTACATTAGGGCTACAGTTCAGAAGCACCTGCAGATTTATAAGATTGGCTGGTTTAGGGAGCTTACTTAATTTTTTTCTAACTCTTAACCTGAGGATCCCCCCCGCCCCTCCCCCCCCCCCCCTCCCCC